ATGTTTGGGAGGTAAAATTAGAAATTCGTGATTAATTTTAGGTTTTGCAGCATATCATGAGGTACATAAATATTATCTATACTAAAAAAAGTATACGGTTTGAGAGAAAATTTGGAATTTGACCAAAAACTTTGAATAAAATAAGAAATAACGAATAATATGGAAAATTTTTAACTGACTTTTGGCAGTGAATATGCCTTGATTTCAACTTCGAAACAAAAAAATATTTAGTTTCAATCTCTATTAATAATGAGCGTAAAACTTTTTAATATGTTTAAATAATAATTAAAACTTTAAAATTGCATTTATTTCAGACAATTATAAATATTATCATTATATTATAAAGTAGAAACGAGATTTTAAGCTAATTTTTCATTTTTTTTTTTCTTGATAACCATTTAGTAAATTTGAATAACCTTATGCTAAAGTGATTCTCCAGAGTTCAAGTTACTTATTATAGAAGTTTGAAATTTCTCGTAGTTTTTTTTCTGTTAATTAAAATAAATTTAATCTGTTCGGTTAACGAATCTCCATAAAACAGCGTGCAAAATTACAGTTTTTTAAAACTTTAAAACTGCATTTATTTCAGACAATTATAAATATTATCATTATATGTATTATCAAGTAAAAACGAGATTTTCAGCTAATTTTTCATTTTTACCTCGATAACCATTTAGTGAATTTGAATAACCTTACGCTAAAGTGATTCTCCAGAGTTCAAGTGACTTATTATAGAAGTTTGAAATTTCTGGTAGCTTTCTTTCTGTTAATAAAAATAAATTTAATCTGTTTGGTTAACGAATCTCCATAAAATGACGTGTAAAATTACAATTTTTTAAAATTTTAATAACTTTTTAACGGTTTAGTGAATCGATTTGTAATTTTTACAGGAGTTTTAGAATTGGATGAGGAACCTTCTTCCAAATTTTTATTTGTCTGGTAGCATTTTGACATACCTCCCAAACATCCCTAAAAGGAGTATGAAACTTAAAAAACCAAACGTTTACGTAGGAACATTATATGTAGCTTAATATCAGCCTGAAGCTGTTTAAAGGTGGCTTCCCACGGCCTGTTATATTACAGGCCGGGCCGCGCCAACACGCCATGCGGGGGGTGCTGCCGCTACCTTCTTGACTAATAAGGTCAAACAAGGCTGTATAGAAGTGCCTGTGACGTCAGCACATGTGGACCGACGCGACGACCAATTTTTTTTAGCATGCATACCTATCATATATGTTCAATAAACGCCCTAGTTGCTTAATTGGTGATCCATTATTACGCCATATTACGCGTACCGAAGTAGTTTGCATTTATAAATTATTTTTCAGTGTGTATTAACCGAATATTTTGGATATTCTTGTGTGATAGTGTTACAATGCCTCATAGGTGTTGTATTCCGGAATGTCGGGGCAATTATGATGAAGGCCCAAAAGTAGCTGTTTTCTAACAGATATTGTAGATCTATAAGCTATTATTTACTATAAAAAATTAACGGAAAATCCGTGATGGCGGTATCCCGCCAATTTATTTATACAATTTACACGAATTGATTGGGTTTGTACTATACACAGATACACATAATGTAACTTGGTCTAAACTGAATTGAAAAAATACTTGGTATTTGCTTGCATCGAATAAATTTTGGGCTTTGAATAAAATTTGAAATGAATTGGCAAAGTGAAATTAGAATTCTTAATTGATTGGTGTACTTGAATTGCAATACTTTCGTGAACTAAAAAACTTTTTGGGAGTTTCATTCCAACCAGTTACTAATGCTGACAGCGGGCAGTCTAAGCCGGAAAGTAAGCCGGAAGGCCTTTTCAGCCTCCCTTCAGGAATCGTGGGAATAAGAGGATGGTGGTTCTGGTGAGAAAGATGAGACGGACGAAATGAACTCAGAAGAGAATGAAAGATTATCTGTGGACTATTACTACCCCAGCATTTGCCTAAGTGATCCACGGAAACCACAGAAAAACTTGGACCAAGGCAGACGGACACGGAATCGAACCGGCGTCCTCCCGAATGCTAAGTAATCTGGACCTTTAGGCCTTGCCGCTCGGCATCGGGAAGTTTGTTGTCCAGGACTTAAATAGTCTGCATGAAAATAGGAAATACCCCTAAAGTAAAACGGCCTCCTTGGTCAACGCGTTGGTTGTTGCTATGTACCCTTCAGGTTCTCAGAAACCTTCCCGTTGACGTTTGATACCTAATACCTAAAGGATGTAATAAAGAAGCCCCAAAGCTGTTTGTAAGCTCAATTTGATGTTAAGTATTTTCAACAGAAATCATAACATACAGTTATATACAAAAAATAAATACAAACTAAAACGACGATAAAATACAAATACAAATATACAAATAACGAAAAACATCAATACTGGACAAAGAGTTCACGCGCAGCCAAGCCCGATCCATTCCTGTCCGCAGCGGGTTGTGGGAAGTCACCTTAATATCAGAATCGTTGAGACAAGCAAATAGAGCTGTTACTGGTCAAATGCCCTCCGACATTACCACGTGCTAGCAGATATTACCTAACAGATATACACTAGTCACGAATTGAAAACCAAACATAGGGATATTTTATTACATGCAATCATCAAAGGTGCCATCATTTATTGAAGGATACGACGTGGAATAACCATCATTTCATATTAATAATAAAGTAGTTTAAGTCCAATAAATGCAATTTAAAGTCATTGAGGGGTGTTCCCAAAATATTTTGAGAGTTTGGTTAGTGTAGGACATTTCTCAGAGAAGTATAGGTAATATTTTCAGATAGACGTGGTTGAATAAACATATTGCACAAGTTCAACAAATTATGCATTTTTGCTCGTACAATATACAAAGATTGTGAAATGTTTGGAGCACGACTCTGTACGGGTGCGAAACGTAGATGGTGGACGCGGAGGAAAAGGTTACAAGCGTTTGAAATGAGGTGTTATAGGCGGATGATAAGGATAACGTGGGTAGAAAAGATTAGAAATGAAGAGGTATTAGAAAGAATAAGAGAACATTGGACTCTATGTAAGTCAATAAGAAACAGGCGAGATAGGTTGGTAGGACATCTTCTCAGGCATGAAGGTCTAGTCAGAGACATATTGGAGGCAGAAACGGAAGTTAGAAGGGGTAGAGGTAGACTAGATTAGTTAAAGATATAGGATGTTCTAGTTTTAAAGAAATGCGAAGATTAGCTCAGGATAGGAAAGAGTGGAGGTACGTGTCCAACCAGTCTTAGGATTGACGATCTTATGATGGTGATGATGACGAACATAAAAAGAAAACATACCGACAAAGAACCAGTACGTATAAAAGATTAATTTCACTGGATACGTTTCTTGAATAGATCTCGGTAATACTGAACGATTCATTTACTTATTTGCTTTATTTCACTGAAATTACTAAATTAATAATAAGAATGGTTTATGTTATTTCCCCAATTTTGCATAGCTAAGTACTGATTGAAATTGATTAAACCATTGTGACGAAACCTATAAATACAAAATTTCGATTAATGATCGAATATACCTGTTTCATATTGGGTGACACCTAGCAATTTCCAATTAATTAATCCTGGACGACGAAGTCAATCAATGAATATTTTATCGTTTCAGTTAACGCAACTGAATTGGTTTTAAGAACACAGTTTCACGTAAATTTAATAACAATTATATTGTCTACACCTGATAATAAATGTTACCTAAAACTTTTGTTTCAATGAATTACAAATTAATGTAATATTGCATTTAAAGTGATTTTAATTTTCGGTAACTTTGTCGTTTTTATAACTTTAGTTTTAGTAGCTTCAGAAATAAAAAAAAAAGAAATACCTTTGATATGTATATATGTATGTATTTCCGGCAATATTTCTAAAGATAAAAATTAACGAATTAAACTAACTAACACGCCACTTGACAAATGAAAATGTTCATATAAATGTTTGAGTATTAAGCGTTTAGTATGCGTAGTGTTGTAATTTATTTATTAAAAGCAGCCCATAATTTCTGATCTGGTTACACATGAGGAAGTGAATGTGCCGCATGACTTGTTAGACAGACACTTTTACCTTTGACGAACCGTTTATATGGGCGTGTCCGTTTTGTTTATTACATATTTATAATTGCAATGCAAAAGCATTAAATACATAAACTTTTTAATAGTACAGTAGTTTCACGAAAATATCAAACCAACGATATATAGCTTTGCAGAATTCGAAATAAATCAATTCCTAACTTGAACTGTATTTCCGAACTCAAATATAATTCGCAGGGTAATAATCATTATACTGTTATTTTTTTATTTAGGAATATTATACATTCGGCTAGTGGAAGTAGTAAAACTGTTGTAAATGTTTAAAGTACGAACAAAACCACATCGAACCTACATATGCATACATTACGACGAGGTCAAAGTTACATGGGATATTAATGAGGTCCATGAAAATTTAACACCACGGTAATTACTCTTTCTCTCTTACATTACTACCCTTCATAGTCCACTGCTATAAATGAATACTACCTAATCCGAAGTGTAACAAATATGTAGTAAAGAATTCTATTTTGAAACAAAGATTATTTTTGCAATCCTCAAAAAGGCCAATTTGGAGTAAAACATATTTATTTTCGGGTAGTTCGGTTTTACTGAATATTTTCTCAAATGCTAGAAATAATGTGAGGGCAGGTTAAATATTCAGATATGATGTATTACATTATTCAATAAACAAACATGACGAAAAGTTAACAAATCTACCATCATAGATCAATATTGATATCACAAGAAAAACATAAACTAGCACACATTTACATTGCCTCGATTATATTTATCTACATTAAAATGGTGGTTTCACATGAGGAATATAAAGGTTCCAATTTGGTTTCCTATGCGAAAATGTTGGTGTTAAAAATAAGCAAAAGTAATACCTATTGTAATATACCATTGCTTTCTTATTATTTATGAGTACCTAATTGGCTAATTCGATTCAGTAATTTACTATTACGTTACAGGTCCTACTTTTGGAGGCAGGGTCAGAAGAACCGGAAGTGACGGGTGTTCCAGCATTTGCTCCATTGTTACAACAGTCAAGTATCGATTGGGCCAGAATGACGCAACCGTCGGAATCCAGTTGCTTGGCACGACCCAATGCCCAATGTTCATGGAGTTCGGGAAGAATGATGGGTGGATCATCAGCCATGAATTACATGATATACATGCGTGGTTCTCCAGAAGACTATAACGAATGGGAAGCAATGGGAAACCCAGGTTGGGGATATAACGACGTCCTGTACTATTTCAAAAAAGCAGAAGGTAACAGAAATCCCGAAAGAACTGAGCCCATTTATCATGGATTCAAAGGTCCTCAACCAGCGTCAATTCTGCCGTACCAAGACCAAAATGTTTGGACCCTTATGGACGCCCTTCGTGAATTAGGATTTCAAGAAAGGGACCAAAACGCGGACGCAATGCAAATAGGGATGTCTCTATTACACACAACAACAGAAGATGGAGCCCGTGCAAGTACCAACGTTGCATACATTCGCCCGATTCGATGGAAGAGACCAAATCTTCGTATACGTACTAATTCTTATGTGGTAAGGATTCTTATTGATCCTGACAGCCATAACGCGTATGGTGTTCAATACGTCAACAGAAATGGAGCCTTGGTGACTGCATTTGCTAGGAAAGAAGTTATCTTATCTTCAGGGTCTATTGGTAGTGCCAGAATATTAATGACGAGCGGGGTGGGACCAGCCGAACACCTCACCACAGTCGGAATCCCTGTCATACAAGATTTAAGAGTAGGCCATAACTTGCAAGATCATACAACCCTTGACGGTATTATATTTGCTCTTACAAATCTAACAGCAACTACAGCAAATAGTTATCAAGAAGAAGAAAATGACGCCCGGTATTATAGGGCTACCCACAGAGGGCCCTTTTCTGCAACCGGTGCTCTACAGGTGAATGTTATGGGGCAAACTCGATATGAAAATTCGCCTGTTAGGCCTGATATTCAATACCATTTTGATCGAGCTGGAGTACAAGACTTTTATACCGATCCCATACTAACTGCTCAAGCCAATGTTATTCCGTTATCATATTACGATGGAATCATGATAAGACCAATACTACTGCCTCCTCAAAGTAGAGGAATAATTATGTTGAATAGTACAGATCCCGTGTTTGGAAATCCGTTGATTTATGCTAACACTTTTACTGAACAAATTGATGTACAAAGAATGGTAGATGGTATACAAAGAATAATACGAATTGGTGAAACTGCACCCATGCAACGAATTGGAGCAAGACTTGTAACAGTTCCTCTACCTGCCTGTCAGAGTTTTAGATTTGGTACTGATCAATATTGGGCTTGTGTTGCCCAATCTTATACAGCGACCATATACCATCCAGCTGGCACTTGCAGAATGGGACCAAGAAGTGATCCTGCTTCCGTTGTGGATCACACACTCAAAGTGCATGGGATAAGTAACTTGAGAGTAGTTGATGCTTCGATCATGCCAAACATTGTTAGAGGAAATACGAATGCTCCAACTATTATGATTGCTGAGAAAGCTAGCGACATGATAAAAATTGAACATGGACAACCGACAGAGTTCCATGAATCCAGTGGATTATTTACAAGTGCTGGTATAGGTTCATTTAAATTTTAGTCTTTGTAATATATATTAACGGAGATACCAAGTTACCTTACTGTTATACATAACTATAGCTTTACCAATGATGACCAAATAATACGTTTCCTTATGTATATATTAAAAAAAAAACATTGTACCTATCTAATTTCATGTATCAGTGTAATAATACGTTCTGTTGTGTACATATAAAATATATCTTATTGAATGGTGAATGAGAAAAATAAATATTGTTTACAAACTAAAGATTATTTATTTAATCATACATTATTTAATAAAGTACAATTTATTTATGTTAATATTATCTTTAAAATGGTTGTTACGACGTATATTGAACAGAAATTTGAAAATAGGTATTTTCTAAATAATTTTTAATTTTTAAAATTAAATAGTTATTTAGATCGTTGTTCGGGGTTCACTATGACACAGCTAGGAATTTCCATTGTTCAGAAATCATAGTACACGAGGAAAATGAAAAAGGAAAATTTACATATTAAAGCTATATTTACAATTTATCTTACTATCTCTTTGCTTCGTAAGCGAAAATAATAAAAATTACAATTTCGACCTGAATTTGCAAAAATAAAATCCTAGCAGAAATTAATTTACTAGGCATTTAAGTTGATATTACAAATTTAATTGTAATAATTAAGAAACTTGAAATAACAGAACTCTACAAAAAGAAATTTTGTCTGTCCTAAAATTTATTTTATGATTTTTCTGTGCATTATGTTCCAAAATAAAGGAAAAATACCTACATTCCATATAATGTTCGCTTTTGTGTTAGTTACGGTAATAATACTTTCTTTAAGTTATCATATATAAAAAAAGCTTTAAATAGTTCTGGTATATTTTAAAATACCAAGACAAAATAAAGAGGTCGTAACTTTGCCATTGTAACAACGTAAGGGGTTTGTTTCAAGGAATTGGAATGTTCTGTGTTTCAGTGAGTGGCGTTTATTTATTGACAGTTCGAATAATAGCCTGAAAGCAGTTTTATTAGATAACGGAAATAAATTTCCATCTTTTCCAGTCGCTCATTCTGTACATTTGAAAGAAAACTATGAAAGTGTTAAAAAGTTACTGGAAGCTTTGAAGTATCAAGAGTATAAATGGCAGTTCATTGGAGATTTTAAAATGGTAGGATTTTTAATGGGACTACAGGTTGGATATACAAAATATCAGTTATCTCTGTTTATGCGACAGTAGAGCGGATCTCAACATTATATTCAAAAATTATGGCAACTAAACACTGAATTTCAAAACATAAAATGTAAACTAACTGCTGAACCTGAAAATATATTAATTACCGCCTTTACACATCAAGTTAGGACTTATGAAACAATTCGTAAAACAATTGCATGAATGACCTGAAGCTTTTGCGGTTTTAAAAAAAAATTTCCCAAAGTTGTCAGAAGCAAAGGTTAAAACTGGAATTTTTGTTGGTCCACAAATTAAAAATTGCTTAACAAAAAGTTGGAATAGTTTTAAAGGAGTAGTTTCTGGATTTTTAGGGAATAATAAAGTTGAAAATTACTGAAGCTAGTTGATAACATGATAGAAAACTTTAAAAAAACTTTGAAACTACGTATAGGCTGCAGAATGTCTCTAAAAATACATATGCTGCATGCTCATTTAGATAATTTTGAAAACAACATGCGGGCGGACTCAGAAGAACAAGGAGAACGTTTTCATCAAGATATTATGGACTTCGAACAACGTTATCAAGGTCAATACAATGAAAATATGATGGGAGACTACATTTGGGGTTTACTGAGAGAGAGTAGTTATATAAACATTAAAAGGAAAAGTAATAAGGTTCACTTTTAAACTTTTTTCCTCTATTTTGTAATTTAATATGATACTAAAAGTTGATAAAGAAATATGTACAAATATCTTTGTGATATATGCGATTTCACACGCGGGAGGGAATGTTCAGGGCCGTCTTAATAACCCGGTCGACCAGGCGACTGCTCGGGGCGGCACTTTTGGAAGTTTTGTATTTTATATTAGGTAGATAGATTTGCATAAAAATTTCAAAAAAATTTTTTCATATCTACAATATATACACGGCAGTCAATATTTAACAGTTTGTCCTGGACGGTCTTAACTCTAGAGACGACCCTGGGAATGTTGCACTTTTGTCCCTAAAATCAGGTGGAGTTTTCACTAGGAGTATGGTAAAACTGTTTATTTTTGTTCGGGTTTGCTGGTAGGCAGAAGAAGGTACAATGTCAAATCTCTCACTCCCCTGACTGTACTTGAGTTATTAATTCGCTCGTGGGAGGTAGGTTGTTTATTCATCCCTTTGGTATAACTGGCCAGGTGGCCATGGGTTGGAAAAATCAAATAACACCCCTGTACACGTCGCGACGTGTCGTTGCGAGTGACCGTAAGGAGATCGCATTTTTATTATTATTGCTAGAGATTTCACGTTGCATTTTTTAGGATGTTTGGGAGGTATGTCAAAATGCTACGAGACAAAAAAAATTTGGAAGAACGTTCCTCATTCAATTCTAAAACTCCTGTAAAAATTACAAATTGATTCACTAAACTGTTGAATAGTTATTGAAATTTTAAAAAATTGTAATTTTACACGTCATTTTATGGAGATTCGTTAACCGAACAGATTAAATTTATTTTTATTAACAGAAAAAAAGCTACCAGAAATTTCAAACTTTTATAATAAGTAACTTGAACTCTGGAGAATCACTTTAGCGTAAGGTTATTCAAATTCACTAAATGGTTATCGAGGAAAAAATGAAAAATTAGCTGAAAATCTCGTTTTTACTTGATAATATAATGATAATATTTATAATTGTCTGAAATAAATGCAATTTTAAAGTTTTAATTATTATTTAAACATATTAAAAAGTTTTACGCTCATTATTAATAGAGATTGAAACTAAATATTTTTTTGTTTCGAAGTTGAAATCAAGGCATATACACTGCCAAAAGTCAGTTAAAAACTTTCCATATTAGGTATTCGTTATTTCTTATTTTATTTAAAGTTTTTGGTCAAATCCCAAATTTTCTCTCAAACAGTATACGTTTTTCTTTTAGTATAGATAGTATGTATTTACCTCATGATATGCTGCAAAACCTAATTAATCACGAATTTCTAATTTTATGTATTCTTGTCTCCGATTGTACATCCCAAACAACATTTGATTTGGTAATTTCTTTAAAATAATTTAATGCTCTCTGGATTGTTTGGTGCAGACTCAAAATAGTCAACTACATTAGTATGTCGTCAGCTTATTTTTAAGATTAAAAAGGTTAATTTTAATTTTATTTTTTGCTTTTCTGTTTACATTTAATCTTCTGCTGAAAAGTATTAGTGGTGAAAAATCAATCATATCCTATTTCACCACCTCAAGGGGTGGGATTGTTTTCAAATATAAATGATATTCCCTACTTAATAAGAAAGGAATCATTGATTTCAAATACAAAATTATGTGTAGCAGAATCAATTACGTAACAGGTAAATGTTTAGTGGGTGAATAATGTTTTTCTACCCTTAGAAGTGGATTATTTCTTTCGAAACTTAACCAGAACCAACTTTGAGATATACCCTATTAAATAAAAAAAGAATCGTCAAAATTGGACTACTCTGTAAAATGTTATCTGAGGTCATGCATAAGAAAATTTACGCGTCTACTTCAGAACCTCTTCCTTTTTTTTTGGTTAAAAAAATTAACGTCATTATTGTTCGTGTATGCAGGGAAATTGCTAACTTAAGTAAATAATACTTTCAAAATGGTACTATTTACGTCAATAAAAAATCTTACCTGGTACGCATTCGTGTAATTAATTAGCATCAATTAGTAGAAACAATTACGAGTAATACGGACACTTAATAACACCGCACGACCGACCGAGAACAAACATCACAGCAACACCACCGCTATCCTTGAATTAAGGATAATGTTTTTAAAAACGTTAGTATTGGAAACTGTATTATTAATAGTAAAACGGTTACAGCATTATAGCTTTTGTTTACTACACGATTTTTCCACCGAAGTTGGTAATGTTCATTTTAAAAACATTTGTCATTACTTTAACGAAAGCGGTAGTGTTGTACTGTGATGTTCTAGGTCGGTCGTGCGGTGTTGTTAAGTGTCCGTAATACTATTAATTAATCGTTTCTACTGATTGATGCTAATTACTTACATGAATGCACATGAGGTAAGACTTTTTATTGACGCAAAGTGTATTATTTTGTTAATATTTTAAGGTTGGGACAAAAACTTTAGCGTTTAAAAATTCCAAATGACCAGTTTTTTTTATAAGTTGATAGGTAGGTGTAAGTTAGTAATTTCCCTGATTAATAACGGAAAATTTCCTCGAAATTTTTAATTAACTAAAAGTTTCGTATTAGCTGAAATTTATATTTAGGCGATGTTCTGTTGATTTTTATTCATGACAAAAGGAATTAAGAAGTTCAATTTTTTTAATTGATTTCAGACGACTTACCCTAAAAACTTAATTCATTTTCGTGTAGACAAATCTGTAATAATAAACGTCTTGTAAAAATTCCAACAACTTTTACCGAATAAATTGAAAAACTTTTGCCATTACGGAACGAACGTGGCGCCTATGCTTGTTTAGTACACCTGTTATTTAAGTTCATTTTGTATTCCTTTAAACCAAGTGAAGCAATATTAAATTAGACAAAACTGTTACAACAAGCTGAAGGGATGAATTGAGCTTCTTGTTATTCAAAGTAACGAATACTTTTACTCAGCTGCGGACATTGTTGAAGTAGGTAATATCAAAATTACGAAAGTATTTCTTGGGAGTTGTTGGAGAGAATTTTAATTTTATGCCAGCAATAGAACTAACCTAAAGTTAAACACAATATTAAATACAAATTTAATTACATTAATATAGCAACTCTTAGGCTTTCACGGCCGGCGTATATCGATGCGGTATTTTCTTCCGGGCTTTTTTGGCCGTGGTCCGTGGAATTTTACTTTTCCAAACGTTTCGCCGTCCTTTGCTGACGGCATCTTCAGTGGCGATTGGGCAGATGCAGTTACGACTCAGCACCTGCCCAGTCACCACTGAAGATGCCGTCGGACCACGATCAAAAAGCCTAGAAAAAAACACCGCATCGATAGATTAATATAATAATAACATTTTATGAGTATGAAATAAGATTTGTAGGTATCTACAAACAAAACAAAAAGGTAAAATTATGCTAAAAATAGA